CCTGTTACTTCTGACCTTTGTTATTTGACAGGGAAATATCACCAGAATTGATTTTACACTATTAGTAATTGTTTGTCAGGTAATTTGCATTAATTCATCACGCTTGGAAATGAGAAAATGCATTCTGAAGTTACAAAATCATATGTCAGATGTAGCAGGGACACAAAAAAATGGACCCCTAATTTCTGGAACTACCCATCTGTCAATGACAGGCAAAGACCAAAGCGCCATGTACGGTATTTCCACAGTAGGGAAACCTTCAAAGCTTCATCAGTGGCAAAAAGTGTAAGAAAAACACAGAGCCAGCAACCAGTACTGGATCTGAACTAGAACATGCGACATATTAGTAACCTTTATGCCATTTGATGAAGAATTCACAGCTTTTCTGTGCGAAAATGGGCCTTACCGTCAAGTCTCAATATTAGGGCCTGCAATTTGAATGTACTACAAGACCACCACAACTGCACAAACTTATTACAAGAAGATGCACCAAACTTACACGCATTATAATATCCACTTGGGGATAGTTGTTAACACTTGTTGCATCAAACTTTATGTGCATACAACCTCTATGCAACTATGCTAGCGCCACAGCAAAGGCTTTGATTTCTGAATTAGTTAATGTGGTGGTTTTTAATATACCTTTAACCCTAATAGTCCGGAAATCTTCCAATTTCAATATGATTTTACGTACACCCTTGGGGGTTATGGGAAGGTATGACGGACAGTGTAAAGAGATTGATTAGGTCAAGTTCGATCCGTGACAAATTACACCAGCCAAACTTGAGGGGTGGTTAATGGACAGTTGCTGGTGGAACTTGCCCCTGTACTTAGCTCATTCCCTTTAAAGCTCATTTCTTTTGAGTTCTGAATATGTATGAGCTTTACATATGCATGAGGTGCTTGTGCATGCCTACAGTACTCACATTTCGTGTCATCTGGTGGAGGTGAGATGGACACAAACTCATCTTGCTCTTCATCGCCAGATCCCTCCGAGCTACTCGACTCCTTCCCCTCTTCCACTGAGATATTCAAACCTGGTCATCCAAGAAGAAAAACATCACAGCATCAAAATTTGGACAAATGCTGTGTTGATGTGAGCCAGTATGGAGAGAAATGGTGTCCACTTGGGCCACACTGACAATACTTCCCTTTAAAGTCGCATACATCATGTCAATCAATGGCTACCATATTGTGTCATTCCTCTTAATGCCTACCACATAACACTGTCCCCAAGTGTCCCTCTGTTGAAACAACACGCTGGCTAGTAGAGCAATAAATGATCTCAATTGAGATTGAGATCCCAATTGAGGACAAATTTTTTTAATCATACCCATCCATATGTAACTTGAGAAGCTCCATCCAACAAGATGCTGTTCTGCCGTTGCCTGAATGTTAGAGACATGCCAATTTTCAGTCTCCATTTACTAGGAGTACAGATGATTAAAAACATTCTTTCTAATTTCGTTCATGTTTGATGCTGTTACGTTCCCCTGAATCAGGAATAAAATTCAGACAAACTGAGCTAAGAGGAATTACTTAGTATTCTCGTAAAGAATACTCCCTTTAACAATTATGCCACGTTGGCATAATTTTGCGTGAACCAAACTGACTTGGCAAGATAGGTTTTTCGTATATACATGCCTCAGACAGTTTGCCCATTACTGCTGGATGAGAGACGGGTGGTTTTTAACAGATAAAAGTGCCAAATGGTTTAAAATACTCAACTGGTTTCACGTGAAGGTGCGATTCCTATGTTATGGATCCCAACCCTCATCCATGACTATAACACACGAAATAATCGTCATGTTAAGCATGCACAATACAACCAGTAAGTCTGTATTCTATGGAAATATTGACATTCTTCACAGCTTTTGTACGGATATTTGCATATCCGTGTACGTAGTCTTTGTGCCACCAAAGTTGATACATGCTATGTGCATATATACTGTGCTTCTGTATCACCTTTAGAGTACACCATTTGGAATTTCGTTCCATCTTGCTTCCTCATGGTCAACAAATAAGCTTAGGAATTCAAAATGTCTCTCCCTGTAAGGCATCAAAATTTCTGTGTGTGGGGAATGACAAGTCAGCTCTTCGACTGTCTTCCTAAAGCATCGTACATGTATGAATCACGTCTCCGACTTACCCAACAGCTGTTGTCTCAGTCCGTCGTCCTCCTCCTCATCAAGTGCAGGTCGCCACTCGTAGCCTTCCCCTTCCTCCCCTACCACGTCCCTGTCCACTGGAACCTTCCTCTGCTGTCTAGTGGCGTGGCCTGCGGCCCCATCCTCAGCCATGTCTTCTTGGTCCGATTCATCGTGGGCCGGGGGTGCTGTCGTGAGTAGGGTGCCGGGTGGGAGGGTGATGCCGGGACCAACTTTAACCTGGGACAGATTTGGGAGGGGGGAATTTTGAAAGAGCTAACATGAATGCGTTTATTTATTATTCTTGACCCTCCAAGAAAAACACGGTGCTTTGTTAGATCATTGGAAAGCATCAAAAGAAGTCATAATGATGAAAAATTTGTAATTACATATCAAAAGGGAAACTATAAGACAGAGAAAACTCCAATGAATAGACAAAAGATGTATCATCAAAAGATCTCAATGAGGTATAAATGTATCCTGACAGACATGCACCAGGGGGCTAAATTTCCAGGGAATATTGTCAAAAGCACTTCTGTAATGTCACCCCATTTGATCAAAGGCCTGTGACTTAAATATTTTCTAGGCTGTGACCAAGCATGCAACCACTCTGTCTGCAAAGGGCAGTGGTATATCCGGGCTTGGGGTCGGGAGTGGGAGAAATTGAATTTTTTCTAAAAGCAGCGGTCCAAATTTTTTAAGGTGGCAGTGTCATTGTTAGTGCTTTCAGTCGGAACAATGAGGTCACACAGGCATAAACAGTGACCAATGTAGAGACATCTCTCTGGTCAGAGTCCCCAAAACATGCCCCCGGTCTTGCATTCTGTCTCAGTAACTTACATGTATCTGGGTGACATTTGACTCACCCCAAAGGACAGCACACACCCCGGCTGCACGACGACTGAATCCCTCAGACACACCCTGTCACACAAGATAGCCATGCTGAGTTTGCAGTTGGACTCGATTCTGACGTTGTCCCACACGTAGGTATTGTCTAAAATGACGTTTTCACCTGAATTAGACAGAAGGGTTTAAAGGGTCAGGCACAGGAATTTGGTGTCCCATGGAAATAGCTGATTCAACTTTTCTGTTAATGATTTAAGAGAGAAAGAAAACTTACAACAAAATGAAAGTCCAATAAACCTCCAGCTTCAATACCTACATGTACTGCAAAGTTTGCCCTGATAATATACTGTAATTTAATGGTGTCAGGCTACCTAAAGCAGTTTTTTCACTGAAAGACTATTATATAATGGTGTTGGTGCTTACTATTGCGCAGTTTTTCCTATTGACAGACTGTGATATAACAATGTCAGTGCTTATCTATTGCACAGTTTTTCCTATTGACAGACTGTGATATAACAATGTCAGTGCTTTCCTATTGCACAGTTTTCCCAATGAAGGACTGTGAAATAACAATGTCAGTGCTAACCTATTGCACAGTTTTTCCTATTGACAGACTGTGATATAACAATGTCTGTGCTTACCTATTGCACAGTTTTTCCCAATGAAGGACTGTGATATAGTAATGTCAGTGCTTACCTATTGCACAGTTTTTCTCAATGAAGGACTGTGATATAACAATGTCAGAGCTCACTTATTCCACAGTTTTTCACGACACACTATGATATACATGTAAC